TATTACTTCAGGTACTGCATGCCTTGAAGGAAGAACTGTTTTCTTCTCCTTAAATACAAACGCATATTATTTATTTTGTAAAAATCAAGGCTTTTATTAATGTACAGATAGGCTTTTCATTCAATGACTCATCCATTCATTCATTTTTTTCCAAAAATTTCCTTAAATACTATGTGCCAGTGACTAGTTTAATCACTAGGGATAAAACATTGTTGAAAAGAAACAAGTCTCTGTGCTCATATACAACAGTACAAAGATGGAGGCAGAATATGAATAACTAAATAAAAATATATGTAGAATACAGACAGTACTAAGTTCCTAGGGAGAAACAGAGGCTTGTAGATAGGAAGAGTCAGGTCTATGACAAATGTGTGTGTGAAGCAGGTTTTCGTATATGTACAATGACAGAAGACTTCATTGATAAAGTAGGATTGGGACTATAAGCCCAAAGACAAAATCCAAAATGTTGAAATCCTAAAAGATCAAAATTCCTCTTTTAGATCCCAAAAAGGGCTAGAGGCATGTGTCAAGTGGTTAGAGTACCTGCCTAGCAAGTGCAAGGCTCTGAGTTCAAAACCTAATGCCACCAATATATAGAATATAAACACTGATGTAAGGATAAAAATCCCAAAAATATAATTCTGAAAAAAAGACTAATTATATAAAAGTTGTTTATTTACATTTTATAAAGGATGTTTATTTACCAAACATAAAAACATGACAGGACACTTCACAGGCCATTTTACACAATGAAATAGATAATATTACATATTTTACATGCATAAACACTCAGATATAACTAATGACACTCACATGATTACAACAGGCTTGTGCATACAGGTCATGTTCACAAAGAAAGTGGTCAATGTAAAAGGTACAAGTCACTGCACCCATCTTGATAACCATAGTCACCTGAAATACCGTAATGGACTCTGAATCTACCAGTTACCACCATATATGCAGTTGCCCGAAGACTGAGGTCTGAAGAGACTTCATCTTTCACAAATGCAGATGTACAAAAAGGATATCATCTACTGAGGAGGTTTCGAAGTTTTTATGTACACACATGATGCTTACATACAAAGTGAACAAGGTTATTATTATAATGCACTTTCGCAGAGTCAAATTTGCCAAAATTGCTAAAATATATAGGAAAATGAATTGTAAAAAAAATTAACAAATTAAGGGAATAAAAGAAAAAAATTAAGATATAATTCAACATATGAAAAAGCATATTACAAGGGTAGATTATGGGAATGGCACGTATGTTGCCCATGATACCTGCCTGACTTTGCAATCACTGCTATATTTTAAAGTCTTGCATCATGATGAGTAACTACTCTTTCTTTTAGGGTATGGCTAACTCAAAGAATATGTTCATACTCTTTTTGAAATTCTTCTATAATTCAGTATATCCTGAGATGAATATTCCCTATTAAGTTTTCCCATCCTCTGTGTGATACTCAGAAATCCAGTTAGCATGTACTTGTATACAGACCAAAAGTTTGGCAGAAACAATATTGGTGATGGAACAGCAACACCACTGCATGTTATCTTACCCTACCATGCACACAATTATTTTCAAACTAGTCAGTAAGCTGGCTGGCTTTTTGAGGCATTTGTAGCTTTAATTCATTTAAAGCTACTATAATGTCATCAGCAGGAAGGAATGCCAAGGAAAATAAACAATGTATTTTTAAATGAAAGTTCTCCTCATTGCCGTATGTGTGACCAGTCTACTCAACTAATGTTTCTATGAAATACACTGAAGTGGAAGAGACAAACTTAACTGATAATGCCTTGAAGTTTACGTGGAGACCTTGATCACACCTAATTCTGAATCTATCATTATGATTTGGTGTTTAAATTCTAATCCATTTTGTTCTGCAAAGCCCACCAAATCACCAAACAAACATTTGTACAATGTTACACTTTACCCAATCATTGATACAAAAATAAGCAGAAAAGTTCTATAATTTTAGGATCCAACAGGAGAATAGGTCGTTTATAGTTGACAAAAAAAAAAAAACAGTGGGGACAGTTTTAAAAGTGCCACTTAATTAAGCACAGGTGAAGCACACACTATTTTTCTAAGAATCATTATTTTTGTTTGTTTTTTGTCAGTACTGGGGTTTGAACTCAGAGCTTCATGCTTGCAAGGCAGGTACTCTTACCACTTGACCCACTCCACCAGCACTAGGTTCTATGTTTCATTTACTGGCAAATATAAATCTATCTTCTTCAGCAGTTAATTCTTAAATAATTCATCAAGAATAATTCATCGAAGTATCAGTGAATGAGTGCTTTTAATTCCAAAGGTGGTGAGCCTGTCAATTTCTTTCATTCTTTGCTAAACAGCACTTTTTTTGAAGGCAAGCATGGTATTATGTGTTAAGGACAGGAAGTAGTATGATTTAGTAATTGGGCTACTATCCTGGGTACAATCAAAAATTAAACTATTTCCTTCCCCAGAATTCAGCTTTCTGCTCCTCTATATTGCCTCTCCCTACCCACACTACCCCCACCCAGGAATTGTGGTTTTAGGGATTTGAGCTTTTAGGATTTCAACATTCAGGACTGTATCCTTCAGAATGATCATCAGCACTGAACAAAATGCTATCTTAACCCAAATCTGCACCAAAGAGGAAAAGCTGACTCATGCTCTAGATATAGTATCTTCAAGTGCAAAGACTCTGAGACAAGAGTGTGATTACATTGTTTGAAGGACAGTAAAGAGGACATCTTGCTCTTTCAACAGTATATAACACACTAAAAAAAAGAAAGAAAAAGAAATGTATGTCCTTTTTGATCCTTTTAATTGTTATTATTTTTAAGATACACTAACTCTGGTACCTTGATTTCTAGAAACACTATAGAAAAAATATTATCTGATGGAAGGAGATTGTACTACCACTCAATAATGGGAAAAAAAAGTCAGGGTCAGTTAACTGTTCTTAGAAATGAAGTCTGTTATAATACAGCCATGCCTGCTTGTTTACATACTGTCATAAATGCTTTTGCACTACATGAGACAGTTGACTAGTTCCCATAGACATTTTTATGGTCCCCAAAACCTGAAATATTTACCATTTTGACAAAACAACTTTAAATACCTAGACTAGAAAAATGGAAATATTTCAGCAAATAACATACAAAATTAGATAAAATCAGCTATATTACATAAATCAATGTGCAAACTAAGCCAAATAATGGGAATGTGATTGTTAATATTTCTTGTCAATTTGACTGGACTTAGAAGTACTTCAGAGATTAGTAACCCACACCTCTGGGTGTGTCTGTGAGAATGCTTCCAGATGCAGTCAGATCATGAATGCTCTCATCAAATTCAGGAAAGTTATATCCACTGATGGATTCAAAGTTTGAACAGACTATTGGGAGGTGGTATAACTGTGGAAAATAATGCCTGGTTGGAGAAAGTAGGTCACTAGAGAGTGTCTTTCGGGACTATGTCTTGGCCTGTCCCTTCCCTGTTATGGCTCCACCCTGTTTCTTGTCTACTATGATATGAGCTGTTCCATTCTGCCCTCCTCACCATGATGGAGTGAAGTATCTAAAATGTGAACAAAATAATTCTTTCTCCCCATAAATTGTTTATGGCAGGCATTCTGTAACAACAAGAAAGCTAACTAACACAGTTTCTTAAAATCTATGAAAGCATCATTGTCTCTCAAGTGCATTCATTTCTTCTCAACTGGTAAGAACTCACTGACTTATCTGTTGATCATTTGGTAAAGCAGGTCTACAGAAACTAGGTAGCAGACTTTCCTTCCTATTTCTTTTTCCTAACCTGGTAAATATGACAGACAAGATTACGTAGAATGAACAGAATGTTTACACAGAAATACACTGAGAAAAGAGGGTCTCTGTTTTCCTAACCTGGTAAATATGACAGACAAGATTAAATAGAATGAACAGAATGTTTACACAGAAATGCACTGAGAAAAGAGGGTCTCTGTTACCCCAAAATATCTTTCAAATGTGCTACACATAATTTAACACTAGTGTTTATTACTCATAGCTGCTTCATATGCATGAGTGGTGAACTGAGGCAAATTTGGGAAGCTGCAGAAAATCCTGACATTTGCAGGGTTTTATACTGATTATGTTGAAGCTTGAGCAGAATAATTTGGATTATCCTTGCTAAAATTATTGTAAGACTATTATATAACAATGTGCAGAACCCCTATACTAAGTGTCACGGGAGATGCCAAAGTAGCAGAGGACATTATATGCCTGCCTTCAAGTCTTTGCAGCATGGCACTTACCAGCACAGAAAACTATATGTAATTGTTAGGTAAGAGTATAATATTATGGCTGAAAACAAATAGCCATTACACAATAATAAATGCTGCCCTGGCCTCTTTGATCAATAACTTTGAAAATAACATCTGAGGATAAGGTGGAGGACAGTTGGAAGGAATTGGGAAAGTAGGAAAAAGAGGACAAAAAGATTGAATATAAGGTTTATCCACTCTAGTTTCTAAACACTTGTAAGGGCTGCTCAAAGGATGTTTGTATGTTTTGTTGTAATATGCAAGTAAGTCTTTGCTCTCAAAAAAAGTTTTCCTTTCTAGCTCCTTCTGAACATATATGATGCGCACCTTAAAATAGCCACATAGAACAGAAATAGTCACCTTAAGCTGCTATGATTTTTACTTGTACATTATAACATATATAATCCTGTATATATATATATATATATATATATATATACTTTATTCCATAGTGCAGCATTTATATACAATATACACACACTCCTAGTTAGAATGTGATCATAAATGTCTCTTTTATCTTAACATATAATTTTTCAACACATATTTGGTAAACATCCAAATATGGTTGGTATACACATTTGGTATGCACATATCTCATTATGACTTCAAAACTAAATTATGAGCACAAAAAATGTAAGCACTATAAGCCAGTCCTGAATTATAAAATAATACTCTACACCCATGAACCCCAAAATCTCTGACTACAAACAAAACTGGTCTAGCACAGTGAATTTTGTTTACAATGAAAGTCAAAGTTTGTCCTTTTCTAAGGACTGAAGTTTCTATAATCATGTTATGATCGCCAACAATAAAGATTTGCTATGTGAAAGGATACACGAAGAAAAAGAATACTTCTCTTGTCTTAGACAGGTCAACTCTTAAGTTGACTTTATAGGAGATAAGAAAGTTAATATAAAGAAAGCTAAAAGAAAACTCAAGGCAAGAAAAACAGCTGAGACAAAGAAAGGGGTGATGGTTTAGTCCCTTTTTTCTTAGTACCTTATGGAAAAATTACCAAAAATAAGGTTAGAAAGCTAGGCAGGACGCATATCCAAAAGGCAAGGACTGGAGACATTGGGGATTCAAGTAAATAAGATATACATTTAAATTTTCACTTGGAAACACCTTTTAGGTAGGAGCAGAAGGAAGCACAGTACCAATAGCATTCAGATGAGAAAACACAGAATGTGGATCAGTGAAGGTGAGCAGAAGGAAATGCAAGATGCTGAGGGCTAAAAACTTATAGGACATAAGAAACAATTAAATGCTGAATTGCAAAGAAGTACTAAATCATATATCAAAATTAAGCAGCTTGATAAGCTCTGAACAATTCAGTGAGTTCCTCTGAAAACTGATATTGACTAGTGAGAAAAGAAAATAACATTAAAATCCAAGTGGTCTTAAAACACAAATTTTACTTTATTTAAGTTTTCATTTCACCAACTCCTTAATTCATATAAAGTCAACCATACGGCTTGTATAATCTGTAGGCAAGGCTGTGGGTACAAGAAGCCTGGTTCTTTAACTCAAATGTGCACATCAAGAGAATGCAACTCAATAGTGACTACCTACTATTTCATCATGACTTAGTAACTGAGCCTATATAAGGAATGAAAATTGTTTTATATATTTATTCATTAACATTAAAATATGCACGACCTTGCGTGAGGTCTCATGAGGTCAAAGTCTCAATAAAAAGAATATAAATTTACTAATCTTAGGCTAGTTTTTATATTATGTCAACATAATTCTTAGCAAGAAAAATATTTGATATTAATTCTTAATATATTTGATAATATCTTCAATACAGTTCTGCAAAACTTCTCAAAGTATATATGCAGAACATTTTAAACTCTTAAAAATTGATTGATGACTCCAAAGATCTTGTGTTTATGTGATTTCTTCTTAATTTCCCTAATAATTTCATGACTTTTTTTTACAGTGCTACAGATCAAACCCAGGGCTGTCATCATGCTAGGCTAGTGCTTTCCCACCAAGATCCCACCCCACACCCATCATGAACTTTTACTTGTGATACTTAAAGTGTTCATTCCTACTACATCCTCTGCCACAGAAGAAAATATATCTTGTTTATAACAGATATAAAAATATCATAACAAAAGAAAATTGACTTCATAAGCAATAAATAGTTTTTAAAACAGAAAGCTCATGCCACAATTCAAAGCAACATTCTAAAAACTGAAATACTATAAAAGAAAAAGCAAATAAAAATATAAAAGATTTACTTATGAACAAATGAATCCATTTTATAAAAGCCTGATTGGGCTAGGAGCATAGATCAAGTAGTAGAGTGTTATCTAGCAAGTGCAAGGTTCTGAGTTCAAACCCCAGTGCCACTAAAAAAAAAAAACCTTCCTAAACACAAATAAAAAAAGAAAAAACAAAATTTAAAAAGCCCTCTTCATTTGACTATGTAAAGCAACTAGTGAGGTGATGAGCAGTGAATAAACATAGTTGCACATCATTCAAAATCCTAAATTATTTTTCCTATAAATTACTACATTGAGATAGCCAACAGATTAAGAAGTCTGTAGTAAGAGGCCTCACTTCCCATCCTCAGGATACATTAGAAAATGCAGTTTACTATGAGCCAGAGCCCTTCATTTATAACAGAATGCAAACATCTTAGGCCTCATGAAGCCTTTGTTTTGATCTTTGGTTTTATAATCAAAAAGCATCCCCCATCATCTTCCTTAACAAAATTAGTGCAAGTGCCTCAGAAGAAGAAGAAAATGCCATAACATACTAAGCGTTCCTTGTACACTGAATACTTCCGTGAGAAACAAAGAAACAAAATGCATATAAAACCTAATTGTATAATCTCATATGATCCAAATTCTGAACATGATGTTGAAATGTTTTGGTCTAATTTCCAGTGAGATTAATCAGATAGAGTACTCAAGGAAGGTGTTACCTGTTGGAATGTCATGCAAGGGTTGCCATGATGTAGAAAATGACAATACAAAGAATAAATAAGACAGCTTACTTTAAGACTTGATGAAAAATAAATAAAACTGAAAAGGACAAAGTGGATAACAGAGATTAATTTAGTAAAGTATTTAAACTCTGAATAACTTCCTAAACTTCATATAAAAGTATTACTGTTAAACTATGGGTTACAATAGTTTCAAAATTCTCACCAAAATCTGAGTATCCGTATCCTGCTCTTGGACCATGTGAATTGTTTTTGCCAGATCTTCTTCACCTTCAGGAATGCTGAAATTGTCATCTGGTATCTAAATCACAGAGAAAGAGGTTAGGAAGAGTAAGCCCAAACATAAAGAACCATACAGCAGTTCTCTCATGGGAGAACTATCCATGAGGATATCTTCTAAGACGTTCTGCAGATGCCCCAAACTGTGTCTAGTACACAACATTACATATACTACATCATTTCCTTTACATACATACATATAATAAAGCTTAATTTATAAATAAAACACAACTAAAGATTAACAACAGTAACTAATAGTAAAATAGAACAATTATAAAGTACACTGCAATAAAATCTATTTAATATTTACGAACTGTTTCTCTTGGAGTTTTCTATTTAGTATTTTTGAATCACAATTTACTGTGGGTAACTGAAAACCACAGAAAGTGAAACGACAGATGTGGAAAGATTACTATATTTTATTACAGAAATAACTTTTCCTCAGAAACTAAAACATCAAAAAAATGTGATTCATAAGACGTCACATCATCCTAAAGATCTGTGAAACATGAATAATTAACAAGCAGACAACTGACTTCCTTGCAAATGTCATTCAAGGTCACTTCTAATAAACTCAAGATTAGTTTATGAGCAACTGCTTTTATCTGTAATGGAAAAAGTAGTTTATCAAAAAAATAAATAAATAAACTATCTAAATGCCACCAATCTCTCTCCATCCCAGGTTTTCTCCACCACTATTTTTGCATAGCAACTAGTCATAGTAAATCTCTAGTTTATTACAATATAATACTAAGTGTTAAAATCTTGGAAGAATGAAATGGACGGTGATTATAATAATGATAGCGAACGGATCACACTAAGGGGAGGTCACTAATGGGATAGGGAAGGTAAAAGAAGGAAGTAAAGAGGGTGAATATGGTTGATGTACTTTCTATACAGAATGAAATCACCATAAGAGGACTAAGGTGGAAAGGAGAAAAGTGGAGGGGATGAACCAATTTTGGACACAATACATACATATATGGAAATGTCATAATGAAACTCTCTGCATAGAGATCTTAAACTAGGTATGTTTTTTAAAAAGGATGGGAAAGTAAAACAGGTCCTGTCTGGGGGTTGATTCTATAAGAAAAGGGTGAAGGGTGAATGTGGTGGAAATATGATGCACTTATGTATGAAAATAGAAAAACAGGACCTGCTTAAACTATCCTAAGAACGGGGAAAGGGGAATAAAGTAAAATGATAGAGAAGATGAATTCAACTGTAATGTATTATAAGCACTTCTGTAAATGTCACAATTTATCCCCAGTACAATGATAGCAAAAAATTTTTTTAAAAACACTATCCCCTGCTTCTTAGGTGCTGGCAACTACTTTTACTACTTTATAGTTAACTCATTCAGTAACTCCATATGATACAGATTATCTCCATTTTACCACAAGCCTGTCTCCCATGTTTGTCTTGTCTCTTACTCATCCAGGCCAAGCTTGCTTCCACAGTTTCATTCATACTTTCTGTTATCTAGAAGTGACTTTCTCCTCCAAATCGCACAAGTAATCATAGTAATTCATGGGGACAATTAATTAAAAGAAGCCTTGAAATACAGAAGCACAGTTCAGTTTGAATAAAAGCAAGAGGTCTGAGCTCCAACTGCATAGTAGGAATCTGGGAATCCCTGCCGAGAGCAGACTGGACAATGGAAAATAGTTCTTGGACAGAAATGACAGTCTATACCATGGGTCCAGAAGGTAGGAGACAGGGAGCTGAATCTGAAGAACTATTAATAGGAAACTCAAAAAATCCAGACGTGTCACCCAGTCAAAATGTTTGAACAGAATTTTACCATCTCACTCTTAACAAGCTTAAATGGGAAATTGAGTGCCTTTAAGGAAAAGAAATTTGCATATTTAAGAAAATAAAATGAACAGTTCATAAGAACAGCTAATATATTTATAAAACAAACACCTAGAATTAACAAATTACCTCTTCATATTTATAGTCGTCTTCGGATGCTTCAGTTATGGTGACCTCTGAGTATCTTGTCAAGTTTTAATCTCCAAAAATACAGTATAATGTTATTGCATTAAAATTTATTTGGCTTTAAAAGATAATATTATATCTGATTACCTCACTATGAAGTTTATAAATGAATACAATTTAATTTTCAAAAAAATTTCTAGACAAGCTATAAATTTAGACATAAATTATTTTAATTAGCATTATTATTTCATTGCCACCCAAACCCATGAAAAACCACATTTAGGTCTGACTACTATCAAGTGATTTCCAGTTATTGCTATCATAGAATTCCATACTCTCTTACATGGTATAAAGTTAGAAAAAGATAATAAAAATATTAATTTTTTTAAAGAGTATCTTAAACCACATTGAAATTTCAGAGCTCCTGAATTGATTATTCACAATGCAGTATGACTTCATTTGATACAAAACTTCATGAATAAACAAAATAAAAGGCACACCATTTTTAAACATAAGTGAAAAACACATTTCTATGTTTTTGTCAATAAAATTTATTAAATCTCTACACTTTAAATATCTCAAATTTTTAAATTCTTTTTAAACAAATATAAATTATACAGAAATCATAATTCCATTCAACATTATATAAGTGCTTAAGAAGTTAAATATCAACGAAAATGATCCTCACAAAAAAAAATTCTAAGAGCATTTTTATAAGACTTTCAAAAGTTGCAAGTTATTTTACCAACAAATAAAAACTTTAAGATAATATTTTATATTAAAAGAAATTACAATAAACACCAAAATTTTTTGGGTTTTTTTGGGGGGAGCCAGGCATTGTCCTACAGTTTTCCATGTGCTAAATTATGTGATCCTCACTATGGAGCTAGGACTATTACTACCTCCACTTTTCAAATCAAGAAACAGAAGCACAATGTTCCAGAGCTAGGGCCAAATAAAGGGGAATTAGCCCTAGAAATTAAGGCTTCATTATGCTATATTGGCTTTCATATTCTATATTGGATCCTTGCACTGTATGAATACTCAAAGTACTTGCCAGTTATTTTCCACAGAGTTCTAAACTTCTAAATATATTCTCCTTACTCAGCTCCATCATAAATAATCGCTCCTCTCTGCCTGCTTTGTCCTATCACTTACAGGTAACACATAAGCCTACTTCAATTATGACCAAACCTCAGATACCAGGTATCTGTCAAAACAAAAAAAAAATGCTACTTAGACTCTACTTTGTAACTCAATTCACCCATATAAAATACTACAGAGAGTTAAGTACCTACTTCTATTGCTGCAGAAGAGTTTCCAATAGTTTTTACTCCACTGTCCTATAATCCCTTGCCTGCACCCTCCTTAGAGAACACCAGACCTCTAATAGCAATGCAGTCTGTTCGTTATTTTACCTTTATTAACACCCAACTTAAAGTCCTTCCAACATCTATCCAATTCTTCATTCCAAAACAACTCTGATTCCTTAAAACACTTCTATCTTAGCACTCTACTTCAGATACTAATCCCTATATTTGTTATTACTGCATAACTAACTTCTCAAAACTTGAGTCTTAAAAGTACAATAAGCAAATGCTGACATTTGCCACAATGTGGATGAGTTTCGATGACATTATGCTTAGTGAAATAAATGAGACACACAAAAATAAACACTGTTATGATTTCACATATATTTGGAAACTATAAAAAGTTCAATTCACAGAAATTGACAGTGTAGGGTGGTTACAAGAATGGAGGGGTGGAAGAAATGAGGAAAGACTGGTCAAAGAGCACACAATTACAAGACAAGTAAGTTCTAAAGACCTAGTATCAGCCATAGTGACTAGCTAATAATAACGTATTATATGATTGTTTGCAAAGAGTGTAAAATTTCATTATTCTCACCACACCAAAAAGAGGGATGGTTCTATATAAGGCAGACACATTAATTGGATGGATTGTGATAATCACTTGACACTTCACAATGTACTAGATGTGTGTATTGAAATATCACATTATAAAACTTTGAATCTATACAATTTATATACATCTCAATAAAGCTTAAAAAGGGAACAATAAGCATTTATTGTATCGTATTTCTTGTGGATCAAGAATTCATTAGCTGAATAGTCAGGTGTGGTAGCACACATCTATAATCCAGAGACGGAGTAGGAGGATTACAAGTATGAGACCAATCCAGGCAAAGGTAGCAAGACCCTATCTCAAAAACAAAAATACAAACAAAAGGGCTGGGGTGTGGTACAGAACGTGCCTGGGATAGACAACATAAGGAAGGAAGAGAGGGAGAGAGGGAATGAAGGAGAGAAGGAGGAAGGGAGGGAGGGAGGGAAGGAAGGAAGAAGAAAGGAAGGCAGGGATTCATTACCACTTAAGTGGAAGATTTTTTACTTAGGGTCTTTTGTGATGTCACAGTCAAGATGACAGCAAGGTGACAGTCATCTGAAGTCTGAACTAAGGTGTTCCAAGAGGACTTCCTGACTTTGTACTAGTTGTTTTCTGAATGCCTTAGTTTCTCCCCATGTGAGTCTCTGCATAGGCTGCTTAAGCATCTATAAGATACAGTGGCTAAATTACAGGCAGAATTATCAGTCCAAGAGTTGGAAGTCACAATATCTTTTATAACCAAGCCTTGGAAATCACACATCTTCATTTCTTCACTATATCAGCTACATAGATCAACCCTACATAGTATACAGGAACTATTCAAGAATACGAACAGATAGCTCAGTGATAAAACACTTGCCTTGCCTAGCATGTATGAGACCATGGGTTTGTTCACCAGCAACCCCCACCCCCTCCAAAAAAAATAAGGGGCATGAATACCAGGAGTGGGAAGTGCATCACTTTGGGGACGTGCTGGCTACCATACTGCCACATACTACCACACTTAAAAGAGGTAAAATATGCAAAGCATTGAAAATGGTGCCTGGCTCATAATAAATGTTACATAACTATTCGTTATTACTACTTTCCTCACTCTGGGAAGAGATGACTATCTATGGAGAAATCTCATAAATCTCTTACTTTCCCATAGGTTACAATGGATGGGTAAATAAAAGCCATGCTAAATTTCCCTCCAGTTATAGATTTATATTTGATGACACATTTTTATTTATTTCTATAAAATGTCCTGAAGTTCAGCTAAAGGAAGATAGCCTCTTTTCTATAGAAAGTATGCTCCATCTGAGACACAGCTAGTAGTCCTTTGAAAGTCTCCAGAAAGGCAGTGCCATCCTTTATATTCATACCATAATGAATTTCAAGAAGAAATAAATATTCCAAAATCTAGATGGGCTTTAAAATTATAAATAAGCCAACCACTGAGTACATGAGGAAGAGATGTTGCTGCACAGATTGTTGAACAAGGCAATTTAGAGAGGAAAAAGTGATTTGTTCTCAAAGTATTAGAAATATCAAACCATATTTGTAACTCCTACCCAACAAATATTGTAGGTAACATTGTTTAATTACTTATATTGATTCCCCACAATCAAAAAAAGATTATAAGGAAAATAACTACCATTTTATAAAGCATAATTGTATTTTCACAATAACCCTGTGAGATCAATTGACAAAGATGTAGTCATCTCTAAGGAAACTAAATCAAGGAAATTAAGAGATTTACCCAACATCAAATCATGGCAATGAACAACACAGGCAAGTTTCTTGAACATAAATGCCATGAATTTTCTACATCATACAACCTCTACAGTGACACAATAGGAATATGCATTTTTATTAATATCCTAGGTAATGAAGGCACGGATTTGTTTTCCAAGCTCTCAAGTACTGTGTTACTAATAGCTAAATCAAATCACTGAACTAACTCAATTTGAAAACCTGAAAGGAGGAAAAATACAAATAGTTATATGGACCTCAAGAATAATTTAACCAAGGTCAAAAAAATAATTTAACCAAAGTCAAGATATTAATAAGGAAAAGGCCCAAGTAGAGAATACAACACCCAAAACAGGAACAGATATACTCTTTGATATCTTTAAGTATCCAACATATGATCTGTACAGAAAATCTTCCTAAAAGTAATTTACCTTAAATACAATGTTGTAGTGTTTTTGAAGAAATAATTGTAGTTTGGCATGTATCTTTGTATGCATCTGTCTTCTAGCCAGCTAGCAACCCATAGACAATGGCACAAACCAATCCTAAAGTGATTCTGTGGCAGTTTATGAATATGTATGCCATACTAAATATAAAAATAAATGAGTATGACACAGATCTCAAAAAACTAAACTTACAAAGAATCAATGACCCAGTAAAGAAATGGGCAAATGAACTGAAAAAATTCTCAAAAGAAGAAGTACAAATGACCAATAAACATGAGGAAATGCTCAACATCTTTGGCCACAAAGGAAATGAAAATCAAAACAACATTGAGATTCCACCTCACCCCAGTCAAAATGGCTAACACCAATAACACAGACAACAACAAATGCTGGTGAGGATGTGAGGGAAAAGGAACACTTCTACACTGCTGGTGTAAAGTAATTGCAACTGATATGGAAAGCAATATGGAGGTGCTTAAAAAACTAAATGCAGAACTACTATACAATTCAAAGTTACCACTTCTGAGCATATAACCAAAGGAATGTGCTCCAGGAAACGATAGAGCCACACGCACTCCATGTTTATTGCAATGCTATTCACAATAGTCAAGCTTTGAAAGCAGCCCAGATGCCTCATAACTGGTGAATGGATTAAGAAAATGTGGTATATATACACAATGAAGTTTTATTCAACTATAATGAAGAATTAAATTGTGTTGTTTGGAGGTAAATGGATGGTACTAGAGAACATCATGTTAAGCAAAGTTAAGCCAGGCACAAAAAGTCAAAGGTCACATGTTTTCCCTCATAAGTGGAAGCTAGACCTGTAAGTATATATATATTATATACATGATCATCTATATACACACACACACATATAGTGAGAAAGAATAAAATTACATTAGTGTGAGGGGACTACAGGAGGCAGGAGAGGAAAATACAATGTTAGAGAATGAAAAATA